TTGAGAAAATTAACAAGTGTAACTTATGACCACTATTTGTATTTGATTAAACGATAAGATATCGATCGAATTCATCAAGATCACGCCACAAAGCAGCTTCTTGCAGAAGATCCCATAAGTTGTAACATCTTATCAGTAATTATATCAGCAACATCCTCAAAATTTAAATGGAATTTTAACGATATTTATTTTTCAACATTAATTATTGCTGCCATCACCTCAATTCCTTTCAATATCTTTGTAAATTATACTAACTGGTATAATTTTAAATTAATTGAATATCAAATTATACCAACGACATTACCGAGAGTCTTCCTGAATTTCCCAATTAAATTATTCATAAAAAAATGAATTATTGAATTAAATTATTAATTTCATTAGAATAAAAAAAAAAATAATAATAAATCATAATTAAAATTACTGCTATTTTATAATCTATAATATATTTAAGCTGTAAGAGATCTTGGGAAACTAAACTAGTAAAGTAAATAATTTGATTACTTTGCATATGTTACACAGTTTATTATACGTAGATACTTTCATAAAATAATGTACTTGCAACTGCAGTTCGCATAGAGTACCGATAAATTTATTTTTTATCACTTTGTAACTGTATGACTAACGATATGTTGCGGTTGTTAACATTTTCAGGGCGAAAGACCACCACGTACGGTTTTGTTACAAAAACTCAAGTTGTTCTTTTAAATGCAAATTTCACAGTGGGGTGACTGTAGCTTTTTTTGCAAGCTTCAACATAAAAAAAAAAAAAGAACACTTGACTCTAATTATTGTTATTATTATTATTATCATCATTACTTTCTTTTAGTCGATGAAAATGTGATATTAAAAATTTATTCTGCAGAAAAGAATTTTTCTCTTTGGCATAAATAACTAATTAATTGTAATAAAATAAAATACTTAAGCAGGGGAATAAAAAATTGTTTGATGTAGCAATAGAGGGCAGAAAGTAACTATTTAAAATTAATTTATGTTTATTGATTGATTGTAAAAGAAAAAAAAAAATTGAAACTTAAATGAAAATAAATGAATATCCTCTCACACTAATCCATTTATGGGATTTTAAACCTAATTTTACAACATCAATTTTCCCTAATTGATGGTTCTTTAATAAGTAATAACTAACAATAAAAAAAGCTAATAGTCAGAAGTCAAATAATATATTTAACTGTAAAGCTAGAAAGTTATGGAAATAAGAAAATACTTGGATCATTAATTGGCCTACTCTTTAAAGTATCAATAACTGTAACTTAACTCTCAAGTATCACTAAAATTAGTCTTCAGCAATAGCGGATAATTTTATTTTAATCAAAATGATGCGGTTTGGGCACAGTAGTTTGAGAGTTTATGAACCGAGATATCGTTTGTGTAGTGTTTCGGATTCGGAAATTGCCTGGAAGTTGAATTTAATGTTGATGTTAAACATTACCGTTCAAGATTTTATCGAAGATAAATGCGTAATACAATGTGCTCATGTTACAGTTTTACGATTTGAAGGAGGGATGGATTTGGAAAAGGTTTACGAGTAAATGGGACCACTGGTGGAATATTTATAGGCCATCTTAGTTGATAATATAGGCACTTAACCAACTTTGCAATGTATCTTCAGTATGTCGGTGGTGTGTGACACAGACGTCATATGAGCTTCTCGAATGAGAAGGAATAAAAGAGAAAATTCCAAATGACTCGTAAAATTGTTAGGATTGTATAGATATAACAGATTGGAATTTTGTGTGTATATGAAAGTCAAGTGTCCGGTTTTAAAAATAATCATTATATAAATTCGATTGAACTCGAATTGGTAAATGATGTGTTATTAACCAATATTCTTTTCAATATACCATTCATATTTGTTATCCCGTCAATTATTAAGATAATAAACGGTCTATAAAAATTACTTATCATTGATTAATTGAATCATTTTTTTACCCAAAGTATTAATTAACTCAATGTACTGACAATTTTATATTTGTCATGGCTGATTTTACCGTACGAATCAACGAGAAATAAATTACCCTGATTTTTTATAAAGGATATCTTATATATCCTGGCTAAATTATTAATTGCTCTCTGTCCTTTTTTTTTTTATTTTTAAATGAGTAATGTAAGAAACACATGTGTAATTTAAAGAAAAACTTTTTCTGAAGCTACCATTTCATTGGGATTTTTTTTTTTTGCATAAATTAATCATAATTATAATCAATTAATGTATATATTTTTTAATTACACCAATGAAATCTTGAATGCAAATTTAATATAGAGTTTTATTTTATATGAGATAAAAATTTAAAAAAATTGCATTCAATTCAGCTCACGAACATTCCTCGAGTGATATCCTTTTTAGAAATGAACATCAGTCTTGAAATATCCAATTTGGCCATTCAACTTTATATATCTTTACATTTAAATGCAATATTACAAAAGCTTTCACGCATCAATTTAAAAATTTGGCACTTCTTCAACGCGAATAAAATTTACGTGCATTCTAAACCTTATGGTATATACAAATTTAATGTCATACCACTGACATTAACGATTCGTAAATTAAAACATGTCATTTCGTTTCGGTAGTGTAGGCAGAAGAAATTGTCATATTATATTCATTCCCATCTTCCTCGAAACGTTAGCTTTGTCAAGCGACAGTATAAGGACATTTTTAAAAAAATTTTTTTTAAACAACTCAAGAAAGCTGCGTGTTTCATTTTGACACGTACTATCAGAGTTATTATTTGTCGTGTTGTGAAAGCAGTAAAATCAAACCAAAAAAATTTCAATGAGTAGGTGGATACAAGAAGTTGTAAAAAAATGTTGATTGAAAATTTTTGCCAGCGTGATACCGCAAAATCACGAGGCCACAATAAATGTATACGCATGAAACCACACCCTCGCGAGTACATTCAAGTACATTTGAACTCCTGTCGACATTAAATCTATCGAGAACAATTAACCGGTTTAAGAATATGGTGGCATCATTGCTTCTTGTTCTCCGCAATAGCATTGGTGTGATACAGAGCACGAGTTTGCTCGAATAGGTGTAGGCGTTTTCATGAAAATGATATTTCACTCCCTCGAATCGACACGTCTCTACTTACACGTCTTGTTGCTCGATGAAAGACGAGGAGAGAGTTGTATATATAAACTTGTCTGTGCTTTTATCAAGTACCGTTTTGCCATGGTCAAATAAGACGACTTGCATTCCATGAATTCTCTTTGATATCTATAAGGACTGATTCAGTCTATAAATCGTACAAGAGTAAAGCCATTAAAAAGTATACGTATTAACTAAAGAAGATTACTCTCGTGATTGGTATCAATATATCCTAAAGACTCTATAACTTTTATCGTTTCTAATTTTTTCTATCCCCTTTCAATCGTTTAGGGGGAGATACTTTTGCTCCTTGGAATGTCACTCTATAATCAAATTAATTACATACTTTCCTTGTGATGATTAAAAATTTTATACATTTCTGTTAAATACTTTTTTTTTTTAATTATCACAATTCATAAATCATTTATTACTGCTTCATTAAAAAGATTTAAATTAAATAGTTGAGATATTTAATCCCACTTTAACGTGATTTTAAGAGAAAATGGCAGATTTTAAATTGCAATGTTAAATCCCGAGCTTTTAATAATAAATAAATAATCATTTTCTTTAATAAAAATCATATCAAAATGTTTAACTATTAAAAATTGATTAAAAAACATTTGATTTAAAATAACTAGTCATTTATTGGTGGTAAAATTTATTTAATTATTTTTAAATGCATATAAAACAATAAATCTATCAGTGAATATTTTTTCTATTTATTATTCTCGACGAGGCAATCATTTATCACAACATCATCGCAAATATGAATAATGAAAAGTTAAAGATTAGCATCCGAGAATCTGTACAATAAATGAAATCCTATTCATCCTTTAGACGGCAGTTTATCCTCGTGATTTTTTCAGTCTCATGACTGGTTTATACGACACGTTTTTCAGAGAATATTTTCAAGTGTTAGTCATTTACGAAGAAGCTGAGCCTACTGTACTCCACGAAATGCATCTAAAATTGATATAAAAAAAATTGCAAAGGGATAATGTGCATCACACCACACCCTAAAAATTAAAAAAAATAAAATTGTAAATGATTATTGATGCTAGAAAAATGACCTTTGACCTAAAAAAAAAGGTTTATGTTCAGACGAGCATCAGCAAAGAGTGAATTTATTGATGATGAAACAACTAAAAAGTCTAGATACTATCAACATATTTAGATGTTCCTAATTAAGCCTTGACATTACATGAGATTGCCACAATTCTCGATAGATTTCGGGTGTGTCTTGACTTATTTACGTAACGGGCTACTACATAAAATGTTGATGCAACGAGTTGCGATACAAGATATCGAGTGAGTAGTCAATAAAAAGAGACAGATTCACTACAATCCCACCTCCGACCTCGTGGATTCTACGGGCAATTTATGTTGACCAGTATTTTGTTACAACTCCCCGGTTCTTCGATACACTCAGAGACATATGAGACAACGTAGCAAGCACAAGAGTGTGTACGTAATTCACGTGCGACAGTAATGTTCAAAGAAGAGGCTCCAAAGTAATTTTTACGAGCATGGTACACTTACAAATAAAGATAATTCGCAACTTAAATGCAAAGGCAGTGGCGCCAAGTCTGAAAGTCTCATTAACACAAAGAGGTGACGTGCATTCGGATTATAATATTTAGACGTTGAATGAAAAATTTCTAACGCGATTAAATTATCTCGTAGATTAAAATTATATTCTCGTATTAATCATGAGTTTTATTAAAAGCTTTTAGAGGAATTATTTTTTGCTTTAATACTAGTTAACTAAAATACTTGTAACTGTTAAAAGGATTATTCAAATAAATATAAATCATCTGTAATAAAATTTAGACTTTATAACAACCAGAATTGGTCATTATAGAAATGATAAGAAGTATGTTATGTATTAACTCACCATGAAAACCATGAACCTTGATTGCAGGTTGGCGTTCCTGATGTAAGTCAGCGTTTCCAGCCACGAGCTTGCGTGAGTTCTTTCTTCTTTTCTTCACTTTTTATCCACAACAATATCTTTTTTTTTTTTTCTTTATATAAGTCTATTTCTTTTGTATATGTTTTTTTTTTTCTCTCTTATAGAGCTTCTATTTGCTACACTTCACGACGTAAAATTGATCTCACTCGCGACAAACGAGCGCCATTAAATGTCCGTAGTGCTTTTATTTACTTACACGGCGGGTTTTTTTTAATTAGAAAAAAAAAAATTGTCAACATGAACGGATTGATATAAATCACTAATAATCAGATACAGTATGACTGACCATTCACTACTGCGAATAGAATAGTTGCAGTTTATATTTTAATTGAAATAAATTATTTATATCCAAGTAATTACATGTACATCGGGTTGTTGGTAGTATACTGGTTGCTACTGGCATCTGGTTGGCATACTGGCATGAATACTGGCCCATTTAAGTGTTGACACCTGCAATATACAACACAACAATCGTATTAATATTCTTTCCGTATAAAAATGGTTGTAGAAAAAAAAAAATGTTAACAAGTAAACAAGAGATAACGTGTACCTTTCATTCATCTAGTTCTAACTTAATGTCATGTTTGTACTGTAATTTTTGAACGGTTAAATATCGATGGGTCGTGATCGATAAGATGGATATCAGATATAAAAGAAACGCACCTGGACAACGCACATAAATGGGATAAAAAAATGATATAGACACGAAGAGTGTCGCGAGAAATCTCGACATCTAGGATCTAGATGACAGCTTTAGACTTTTAACAAGATGAATTGACTCTGCGTGAGGAAAGAGAAGGTTTAATAAGTTGCTTTCCGCTGATAGAGGATATATTAGATACAGTAGCAAAACAAGAATGATGATAGAGAAGTTTTATCGTTCAAGAATTTGATTGTAAGAAATTGGAGTGGGCCTCTTCATCTGGTTGGAAAATGAAATATAATATTTATGATTATTATTCATTCAGTATATCAATCGATAAGAGGAGTAAAAAAAAATATTAGAAAAAGATTATTGAGAGGAATGATAATCTAAAATACAATTGAAGCACGATTGACAGGGCGCGGTTACTTTGCCAGGCCCATGGACGTGCCTCTTCTTTATTTAAAGCATTCGATGCACCATGTCACAATCGATTAATGTTGACAGTCAGAAAACTCGAATTAAACGGTTATGTATATGTAAATTTATCATATCTCTTTTTTTCTTGTGTTAAGACTTATCATTCTTTTTCAATCGTTTCGTTATATTAAAGAAGCATTTTAAATACATTATCATAGTTGAAATTCCAGTTCAGGTTTTTAATTAATTTAATTTAATGGTTCTCAACATTTCGATGATGCAATGGCATAATTATTTTTAATTTATTTATTAATTTTTATTAAAAATTATTTTGGAGAAATTTTTTTTTTGAATTATAGATATTATTTAAATGACAAATATTAATTTTAATAAGAAGAAAAAATTATATATTCAAAAAAAAAAATTTGCATTAAAAGTGATTATTTGTAATTACAAAAAATGTCAAGCATGAACACTTTTATCTTTCGAATTCCACGTGGGCAAATAAAAAGGAATTTTTTTTTGTAAAAAAGAAGGAGGGGGGGGGGAAGAATGTAACTTGCAGAGTATTTAAGTTCATTATACTCAACTCATTCCGTCACATGTGTCTGTTACCAAAACGACTTCCCTCATGGAGTTGAACTGTGACGCGTTGTTTTATCTCCGCAGAAGGCTTTAATGAGTTGGTACGTAAGTTCTAATGAGTAATAGCTTACAGCAGCATATCGTTGTAATGTCAAGCGATAGTGAAAACAGGGTAAGTAAAGTAAAAAAAAAAAGTGATGAGTCAATTAGTGAATAAAAATATTACACGTGTATAAATGGTCTGACAGACAAATTGAAAATCTTTACAACAATCTTCTTCAAGTCTTACATAAAGTGTTAGATATCTAAAACTTCATTAACGAATAGATTCTTGGAAGCAAAAGAAATATATTTCAATACACTTGATGTTAGCTGAAGGATTTAAATTGATAGAACGAAGCTGCTTGTTAAATAAACACTTCCTTGAGTCTGTTTACGTTTGCAACTGTTGTCTCGTTTATGTCTGTATGAATCTTTACATACAGTACGCTAATACCAGCATTTCGCTGACGTGTAGACACCCGTATAGTTGGTCTTTATGAATGAAGTAGCACGCGTGTGCGACGACTGGAACGGAGAACACGAGCTGCAATAAGCGTCTGGGCGAAAGTGACCTGCACTGTAAGTCTTTGCGTGTACACGTGCCTCCTCATCGCCTATCATTTTGAATATTCATGACTAAATAAAACATAAAAATAGAATAAAGTAATAAGTTAGTCGCGTTGTAATAAAACATACTTTTTAAAGACGACATGATAGTCAGTATCCACCTATGTTTGAATTATTATTCTTATTATGTCATAATAATATTAATTATCGACATGCTAGATGTTATAATTTATATGAATTAAACCTATCATAATTTTCACCTTTACGAAAGTGATTAGTTTATACTTAGGAATCTAACTAGCAATTGAATTATTGTGCAATAAGTATCGCTAATAAGGTAAAAGTACTTGTACTAAAAATGGCATGTGTTGTTTCTCATGTTTTCCTTGTATGTAATAAAATGCCTATCGTTATAACTGTTGAGTCGAATTTCCAACCACTGACGATCAACTTTGAGAAATAATTTACTGTAGATTAAAGTGCTTGTGTAATTAATTCATTCATTTGTGAGCAAGATACTCAGACACGTCATGAAAACGCAAAGTGAAGTAAGCGTTAAATTTGACATAATTTAGCAATTATTTGTTCGCGACAAGTTGCCTAATCGTAAGCCAACATTAACAAAATTGTTGAGCTCTAATGCAATGACAATTCCTAAGTTATTTTATAAAGATAAAAATTTTTAACCATTCTTTCTTCTTCATTCAAAATTAATACCATCAAAAATAATATTTAAAATTATAATAAAAAAATAAATTATAATTTATGCAAATAATTTCAATAAAATTTCCAAATAAACGATCAATTAAATATTAACAAATCTTATTTGACTGCTACAATTCCCTCCATCAGTGTTGAGATTTATGATGTATTGATCCTACTGATTAAATTAATAACCACGACTAGCCTTCAAGATGAAAATAAATAAAACAATTGACTTGTTAAGAAGAAGAAGAAGAAGACAAAAAAATGATTCTATCAATCATGTCCAAATTTTGATAACAAGTATTCAAGGTCATTTTTATATAAATATATATGTTTATTAATTTGCTTTCATGGCCATCATTATTCTCGTACATTTTAAATTTTATGATTACACGGTTGCATACGTGAATTTAAATGTTTTCCAATTGGTTTGAAACATATAAAATTAATCTTTAAACCGCATAACGTAGGCGTGAATCTTTATAGTTGAGCATCAGTTTTATGCTCTTTAAGTGGCGGTTGTCTGGTTCAGAGGAATGCAGATTCAATGCAAGAAATGATACATCATTAAAATACAGATATATATGTATAAAGAGGAATAAAAAATATTGGTAGAATACTACTTTTGACATGTTTAATAATGGAATTACCAGTTTTTACAGTTCTTGAGGATAATATTAATATTCTTTAATGATTAAAATCATCATTTGTCACATAAAAATTTAACTTAATCAGAAAATCAATGTAGGTATGTCGCAAAAATACATTGCAATCGACTTGATGGTATTTCTGTGCAATATGGATAAGTTATGAGGAAACCACACCCAGAAACGTTTTTCCTTACATCAAACAGGGACATTTGAGTTTTCCCAAGCGATGTAATTTTAGTATAAATCTTTATAAAAATCGTCCTGGTGGTAAGTTATGATATCTGACCTCTGATCCATAGTGTTAGTATCTCAAACTTAGCAATAACATTATATAGTTGGGAATAATGTACATAGCTTGTTTGAACTAACCGCGTACTTAAACACTTACCAACTAACACACCATCAACCGCAAAACGATTGCATATTTTTTTACGCAATTTTCCATTCACAGATAATAATGGGGTGGTAACATTTTACCTTAAAATTTTCACCTTGATTGTAATATTTTAAATAATTACACAATTATTACATGTTTTTTTAAAACATTTAACAAATTAAAAATACTTTTACTCAGCTAGGGATTTAATTTTAAAAATCACTCCCAACCTTTTTTTTTTTTAATAAAAACACCAAATGCATGTTTAATGTCGTTGCTTATTTGATTAAAATTTTAGTCACTTTTTACCCACTCTGTTAAACGAATTAATGAATTTTTACTAATTGTCAATGTCAATCCAATCACTGACTAAATCAATAATTAAACTGACACTAAAAACCAGTCAATATTCAGAGATTCACCATGATTTTTGCTAATTTAAAAGACTGTTTTGAAATGACTAAAATGTTAATCAAATGGATGAAGTAATACTAAAACACTTGTAATGCATTGAAATGAAACACTACAATTAATGATTGAGCAATTTTTAAAAATAAATGTATAAAGTGTAAAATTGAAATATTAAATGTAATAAAGACGATTTATTTTCAATAATTGATATCAATAAAGCTTCGGCTGGTGTGTCAAACGGAAATCATAGCGTTTCCCTACAATTTCTAAGTGGAAATCCAGGAATCCTAAGTACTAAATATGGAGCCGCGTATTTTCCATCGACGGTGTTCATAGTGTAGCCGCTCGACGCTTGGCTCAAGGCTTTTTCCTTATCGCGAGTACATTTCTCGTAGGCTCTACGTCGTCATGTACACATATATATATATGTGCAAGAAAAAAAATGAGATCGTCGAGTTAACAGTGGCGTCGTTGAACAACTCTTATCGCAGCAGTTGATGCCTCGGGTGTCTGTATATGCAAGACCGGAGATTGCACTTTGGCGTGACCTAGGAAGCAATCATCCTTCTGCCTAATACAATGAGCGGGCATATAAACGTTAGAGAGGGAGACAGAAAAGAAATAATAATTGAAGACGAGTCTTAAATCAATTTTAATCCCCTACAGTGGTTATAATTCAATGTTTTATTCATGGCAATAGCGAAAAAAAAAAAATCATTCAAACGTCTCATACTGTTTTTAAGTTGTATTAAATATCAAGATTCTTGACTCTACCTATCAACTTTCTGCAACACAAGCTGGTTATCACTCGTTTATACATCAGGGCCATGTGTCATCTGTATTACAGTAATTTCAAAGAGAAAAAGATTGCCGAGCGTCCGTTATAATCCTGAACCTTCTTTTATCACTGTCGTGTACGATGCATATGTATATTTATATATTAAAGAAGACAAACCCGAGGTGGTAATATCGAACAGGCTTTAGGAAGATGGCTATAAGCAAACCCTACCGCTACATATACTTGGCACAGTATGGTAACGCCTCTTGCATTTTCGGTACTATAATAAGGACACCATGTTATTCTCCTCGCGATCTGTCAATGTCAATATATCAAGCGCCTCTACTGATATATTCAACTTGAAGAATATGAATAATGAATATTGATTCTCAAATGAAGGATAACGAGTGCATACTGTGACAGCAACACTTTGTCACTTTGCATCAATATTAAAAATAAAAAAAAAATTTCTCCACATTCATTATACCATCGGTTTTCATTTTATTTTCATTACTTTAAAGCTACCCCAGTAGACATGGAATCAGGACAGTGATAACATGGTCATCAAGACTGTGTTTAAGTCATTTTGAAAAACATCATGTATTCATCATTTTTAATATTTCTTTTAAACCTATCACTAAAATGATTCAATACATTTTTTTTAATTCATGCTGGTATCAAAGGTAAACATTTCATCACAAGCAAACTATTATCCTTTGAACTGTTTAAATTATTTTATCAATATTTTACTAGCCCTGACCACTTGGAACCTCAAGTCAACGTTTTGATTATAGTTAATTTTTAATGACCACACAAAGAGTATTCCAACATATAATGAAACTTTTGATAGTGGGTATAGGTAGTAGCTCGTCACCGTGTGATCCTATTAGCCCGTATTGTATGCTAATGATTGGTTGTCACGTGTGTGATCAATGACTGTATCGTACTATTTTGCAGCGATTTTCAATAATAATTCCAATAGCTATAATAATATTATTGGTACACAGTCTTATCTTTCACCAGAGGAACTAGAAGTGTCAAGACGCCGTGACATTATCAGACAGCAGGAGTAAGTCAGTACATAAAAGCTATATAACAGCTCACAGTATGGTACGGGAAACAACGTGGGCTGAGCCAGAGATTGTTTCGCGAATCCGCTACGGTAGTCGCGTGCTAGGCAGAGTTTATCCTGGCCGTTCCGCGCTGATTAATAGCTTAATCATTCTGCGTTTCTTTAATCGAGCTATCGCCACTAGCAAAACTTCTTCACACCTCCTACGGACGATCTACCACACTGATAAGTCACCCATCACCCTGTCCTATCGATTGAACGTCACGATCTTCGATAATCAAGCATCAAATGTTGTTGATGGAACTTGATGAATGATCCTCAGGATCAGATAAAAACAAAAGACTTAAAGATATGTCTCATTACTACCAAGAAATATCACTTTTTCTTCATTATTATTCTTGTTGATGTGTTCATGTTGGAGCTTTTTATGTTACTAATAGGCTTATTTCAACTTTGATCAAAAGAAATGCTGATAATTTATACAAAAAAAGTAAATAAATAAATTTATCGGAGGATCATCAAAAGATTAGCTCATAAATTAAAATAAATTGTGCATAAAATTGATGTTCATCCTTTCTATGTTGTCTGCTGAAACATTAACTAACCCATACTCGTGATTTTTGTTATATTTAGTATCAATTGCTCTTTTTTCATTCCTCACTTTGATCCTTGTATTCATACACACACATTTTCTAACATAGAAGAAACTGGAGCAATATGGAGTAGTACTCCAAAAAGTAAAAAGGTACCTCATACACGAAATGTTTAAAATATAATTTGTGTATTAGTTAGAGATTTAGTTAAGGATTTTCTAAGAGTATAGAATATTGACTCTCATGGTTTCATTTTCTACAGTTATGATGTCAAAATTCTGTAAAGGACTTGACTATAAAAAATGATAGCTTGGTCTTCACCTAATAAAGCATCCTCTAGCTGCGGGGCATAATTATATTTATCAAGAGTCAAGGCGTGCCACGTTTGTAGCCAAAGACGAAATAGCGGTATTTCGTAGGCGTCTACACGGAACTTGTGAAAACCAAAAAGACATCATGACATCGTCAATAAAAAAATTTTTTTTTATGTTACTTGTTATCGCTAACTTTCGACGCGCACACCAAGACTCATCATTCAAATCAACTTCGATTGGTTATAACAACCGGCAGCGCCACTTTAGATTCAAGAATTCAAAGAATGTCAATGAAATAGTTGGTGAAGATTACTATGAAATGAAGTTGTAATAATTCTCTCAAGCATAGAAGAATATAATAAGAAACATTATATTAACAAGTCGTCAATTATTCTGCTATTGATGACTACACATGGCATTAAAAATTGGATATACATATTAATATGTATAGAATTATGATGTGTGACCTTTTCATACAAACGAAAATGCTATGTAATATTCTTTACTCAAAAGACGAGCCTGTACGTGTCGTAACGCAGAAATTTTATTCCACGATGAGAACTCAATTCGTGACGTAGCCCGCATGGTCGACCGCATTTGCGCGAGTCGATTGCCATGCGACATTATTGTGATCGATACGGAAACGCCCCGAAGCCCTATGTAGTTGTACTTATGTTAGCTTAGACCAACGATTCATAACAACTCATGTCAACACTCAAGTTTTGTTCAATTCCACCAACAATCACAGCTTTAAAAATATTTCATAGCCCGAGGAAATGACTAATATTCAGCTCTAAAACACTATCAATTTTCTTTAAATTAATTTCAGTTTTTTTTGTTTATTAATTTTAACGATAAAATCACCACTGACGAGTTTGTGGTCATAAATTATTCCGTTTAATTTATGGATTTACGTTTTATTGATTTCTAATATGTATATTAAATACACATGATTTGGTATAATTGACACTTTGGAATGAAATAATTGTGTGAAGAGACGAAATTTGTTCAAGCTGTCTTCCTATCCATGTCAACATAATTATGCCACCGGTTGTTAGGAAGATATGCCGAGTGGTCATTTAAGCGCCTTTGGAGGCATAAATAATCCCATTAAACGTATCACTGACTCAATCCGACAGCTAACAAGTTGCTAAATAAAAATATTAAGAGAATACACTAAAAATGAAAAGATAGTAGTAAGTGAGAAAGATATTAGTGAATTTAGAAAATTCTTGGGGTTTATGGTTAATTCAAATCAACTTCTAGATAATTATTTATGATATTTTTCATTTAACGTGATTTATATTTAATATTTGATCATTTTAATCAAAATAAATATTTCAAATAGTCCAGTAGAAAAAAATAACTTTTATAACTTGATAGATTGAAATAATGATGAGATTCTTGTCACTGACTAATGAGAAGGCATTTCTCATTGACGTGAAGCTTATAGGAATTCAATTGATTTAGAAAATATATAGACTTGTGGGCCATTTCATCTGTCATTTATTTGCTGTTTCATCTAATGACAAAATGATTTCTACTCCTGGTGTACGCTGTCTTCTATATTATATAATAAATAAATAACAACTTAACTGCGTCTACTAAAGTATATAACCTTCAATTTAAATTTATAACAAGCTATAGTTGAGAAAAACATATAAAAAAAAAGGATTTAAATACAGTTGTATGAAATAGAATATTAATTAGAATTTTTTGTTCACACCGGTATATTTCTTGTCGAAAAATAGCCAAGTAAGCAATTCTCTGAGGACGTCAGAGAATGAAAAATTCACAAGACCACGCCTTAACTTCAAGGGGAAAATACACGTTCATGAAAGTCATATATGCGCCTGTATCAGACTAGTCCAACAACTTTGACAGAGTCTCGTAACGCGGGATTCTCTTCATCCATAGTTAATCATAGCAGCGTGGTGTGCAAGACCCGTTTATTTATTATCGATCGCGGTTAGTGGCGCGCGACACTTGATACATCAATATCCTGCACGTGTTTATGCGTCCAAGCAATTGCACGGTTAAGTAAGGTTTGTAAATTCACTTGCGTATAAAACGTCCATGGAAAAAGTACAAAAAAATAAACAATTAATATCGATAACGTATCTCTACATGTTACCGGTAGTATTATTGGGAAATCAATTACGCTTATGTAAGGATAATATACAAAGAGCTAAACATGACATTAAGCTAAATAGTATAGTACATAATAATACTTGGAATATCATATAATAGTATGTTATGTTATATTATGTGGTATTAATACTCACCAGAGTTGGGCTGCTACTGATTACAATTGTCCGGTTGTCCTTTGTCGGTGTAATCCACACGGTGGCAATGATATCATTGGCTTCATCTATGTTCTATCACAGTAATTCTCATTAGGAATGATCAATAACCTCGAGTTATCACAGAACCACGAGGCACTTTGCACATTAAGCACCGGGAAAACACCATTTAAATATCTTCGATATGATGATTTTTATTTAACACGCACGTTTCTTTACTAATGTTATGATTTTACACTCAAATATTACTTCAGTATGTCTCATTAATAATTTTCTAATTTCAATACATTATTTTTTTTAACTCTCTAACTTATTTAATTACTTAATAATTTTATAAATAATAACATCATTATTCAGCATATCTTTTTGACTCTATTATGTTTGTTTGTATTTATTGAATTAATGTCACAGAAAAAATCTCAAATAAATGACAAGTCATGAAAATAATGCTTTGTCACGGAGCTTTTGAAATAGTGTGAATATTGTTTATAGTCCTTTCGCATTTTCTGTGTGATTTAATACATAAAAAATACATTCTTGATCACATCAACTCTCGAGACAATACAATTCGCGCGTTATTAGATTGCCTAAGGTCTTTTGAAGCATCATATACATTTCCGGAGCGAATGAGTGGATGGCGGGAGAATATGTCAGTGGAGAAGAGAGAGAGAGAGAGAGAGAGGGAGCAAGAGTTGAGGGCGATCGATGAACTCTTACTGTCCGATGAAAACCTCTGGTTGATAAATTCAGAGGTCAATCACAAATAATTATGTGCGTAGACGTCGCAAATCGATCATTACTAAATCGTTCTAGTTGACAAACTATCAGTAGCGTAGTTTTAAAAGCACATCACAAATCTCTATCAGACCAAGTAAATAATTCATTAAAAACACTCATGTTATTGCAAATTTTTTCTCCTTCACAAATAACTTGCAGCCACTAGATGTCAACGTTTCACTGTATATTCAACTGTTACTCCGTTCTCTCTATACACTTATTTGTTCGTAATCTCAAGTCTATAACCATTAAATAATCGTAAACCTACCATATTACACAACCACTTGCACCGCAGTTGACAGTCAACTATTGGCAAGCAAAAACTGCGTTGAAGTAGCAATCAGCTGATCGCCACGCGCTGCTATGGCAACCAGTCGATGGTTGCGCTGCAGGATGGCGCACCAAAAGACAATTGAAGGTGCCAAGATGGTCACTCAACCAGCGAGTTATTTTTTAGATATCAATTTCTCTTCAAACATTAGTCGTCACGCTCTCGTCATCCTTCAGCCGTCTCACTTTTCTGCTTTGATATCACAAGCGTGACACTCGTGTGTCTGTTAATGCTCGCACGTCATTTGTTTTCCCTCTCTCTCCCTCTCTGACGTTTCGACGTGATAACACGATGCTGATAATTAACTATTTATTTCTTTCAATTTTATTCAATAAAATAATTCACGTAAATGTATTCTTTTTCCATCCTGCAACAGAAAATAACCCGATGACCGTAATGTTTTGAGTGTTTTGATAGTAAAAGAATGATTATTAACGTTAATTTATAAACAACATTTACACCATCCGCTCGTGTCGGCAGCCCGGCGTGCACTGGCGCTCCAAGTCAACTGTACTGAGCTCTCCTGGATCCACCACTCGCTTAAACGTGCGATACGCGCACAGCCCACATGATCACGCTTATTCGCCTCTCCCAGGAACTCTACTATCAGGTTTTGTTGCGTTTCTAGCGCCACTTCTCGCAATTTTTCAATCATCTCTTCTTAACTCTCATTCCCGCCAATTTTTTTATTTAATAAACATCTTTATTACTCTAATAATTGTGTTTCACCGCAAATAATCATATTTCTCGATTAAATTTATCCTCATTTATTATAGTGACTATTAATTTTCGATAATAAATACTCCTGTTATTGTGATCATTATTGTTGCTTTTTTACGACTATCATGGCGTTATCATTCTTGTTTTAATCTTCATATAACTAATAATAAATTTTATAGTTTACCTTACATATTTCCTATGATTTTTTATTGTAAAAAGCTTATATTATCTAAGATTTAATTATAATTCGAGATTTCGTTATTTATAGCGTATATTAATTACTTTTTTTATGACATAATCATCGTGAAATATCATTACATCGCCGATCGGAGTTGAACTAACGAGCGTCACATTGACTGTGTTAAAGCTCGAGTGGCATCGTTGTGAAGTTTGACAATAATGGCGTGGTGTCGCCACCTGTCAGACTCGTTATTTTTTTCAAATTATTTTGGAGTTGGATAGCATCAATAATTAATTGTTGATAAATAATAAATTAATAAATTAATTATTAATTGTGTTTTTTATAAATTCAATTTTTAATCATTCGTTCAAAAAAAAAAAAAAAATAGATAATAGATAATAGATGATAATACAAGTTTGCCAACTCAGAAATAAGAATAAATTAAATTTCACTTTAGAAAAAAAATCAATGTGTTAATATTATTTATTATTAGGTAAATATACTAATATGGACATTTTTTATTTGTTCTAAAATTGCATTATAAACTATTGTTTGTTAAAATATGGACAAAAATATAAAAGAAACGATACTAGAGTTGTCAGTAAAAAGTACACCAACCACAACAACAATATTCCTCCTACTGTCAGTGATGTATAGTGAAGTGCCTTTAGTCTATTAAAAATTATTATTATTATTATTATTAAATTGAAATTTAAAACTTGAAATAATTTTAATAAGATTTTTATATTTTACCTGCTGTATCGTTTTTTTCCTTCAGGGATTGTTTCAAGTGGATCTTTAATGATGAATATTCGAAGACCTCGTATGTAATCCCAGAAATATTTATTCCATTCAAGATTTGAAACATTAAATTGGTACAATTCTTTGTCAACTGGACTCAATTTATCCCATAACTTGAGAACATTATCATTCCGGAATTTCCATTGCTGCATTGCAAAGTAAGATATGACATGCATAAATTTATGAATTTTTTTATATATTTTTAGAAGCCTAAAACAGAATTTAAGTTAAAAAAATAAATTTAAAATAATGAAAAATTCTAAATAATAATAAATTTAACATGAACGAATTTCTTACATAGGTTTTTTTCCTATTATCCATAACACTGAGTCAACAAGAACTGCAGGTATCATATGAAATAAGTATACGTATATGAGATGCACCCAATAAAGTTTGTTCAATGTAAAAAAGTAGTACCATAATACCGATATGGATGGTATATTCATTCCATAAATTTCATTATATTTCATATATTCACCCCAAGTAATGGGTTTTTGACAAGAAGATACACAATTATAAATTGGTGGCTTTTCTTCTTCAAGTTCTGCTGAACTTTCGTTAGATTCACCTTGCTGAGAGGTTGATAAAGCACGTGATGGGTTCATTCGTCTAGAATGATCGATTGAAATTTGAATTATTAATCAGTTATTACAACTGATTCAATAATCAAACAATCAATATTTAATACTATGAATCATTTAAAATTCAAACCTTCGCGTTCCAATATCCCACGCTGCTGCAATAATGTTATTGATAACGTAATCAGCTGGTATTATATCTGCTATACAATTAGTATCACAGTGAAGTGTACGAAGAAGACCCATTCCAGCCCCAATTGTTACACCAGTAGGTCCATAAAGATTATTGATCCACCCGGGAACAGGTTCATGTGCTGTTGATATCATAATAGCTGGACGAACAATACAAACTGGTAAACCTTTGCTGTGCTTCAACACAGCATCTTCAGCAACTGTTTTTGTAAATGCATAAGTATTGGGCCAATCTGCTATTAACCTTAATAAAATTTATTTAAAAAATCAACTCATTTATAATTCATTTTTTCATGGATTTAGGTCTTTTAAATATACTTACTTAGGAGTCAAATACTCTAATGTTGGATCATCAAGTATGTCAACGATAGTCAACAAATCATCAGCTCCTATAGTAGCTTTATAGAATATTTCATCAATAAATTTAGTCACGCACATTGAAAAAGCAGTTCCAATATGAACGAAAGCCTGTTAATGATAATTTTAAAAAAATTACTCAGGTCGTTAATTGCTTAAAAGTTTATTCGATAAAAATCGAATAGTTATCACCTTCAGATTGGGCATTTCTCTAGCAAAAAGAAGAATATCTCTTGTTCCTCGAACATTGATATTAGCGGCAAATCTTAATTTATCATCAAATCGTACAGTTGCAGCAGCATGAAACACAACATGAGTGTTTTTAAGTCTCTCTCGAGTTTCTGGAGCCAACACAAGACCTTTGTCTTCTATACTACCTTCAATCATCGTGACTCTTGTTGTATAATCAGGCTGTTCAGATTTTAGTCTATCATAAAGCTTGAATTATAAAAAAAGATTAAATAATTTATTCAATAAAACAAGTTTATTAAGAGATTTTTTATTGCAATACTTACCGGATCTTCAAAGTGTTCCTTGAAACGTTCTTTTGGTGATTTTCCTTTTTTTAAACGTATTAAAAGATATATTGTCTGCAATTTTGGGCAAGCTCTGATAATAAATAAAATCGTTAATGATTATGTTAACGTAAGCATATGAGAATTAATTTGAATAAATAGTAGCATAATTGTTTTTTTTTGATGAAATACAAGATGTTTCACGGTATTTACGTGTGAATATAAATGCGTTTATTTTGTCAACGGGTGATTTCCGGCGACACAAAATTAGACCTCTCATAAAATATTTACAAAAGCATAAACTGTTTAGCATAGACAATACATACTTAGTAACAAGGTTCTCGAAAACTCGCTTTGAAATTTAAGTGCAACTCCTTAATGGCAATCAGTTTTTTTACATTATGTAATAAATACGAATCTATAATTGTTGATGTATCTACACGTTGTTTTAAATCACTTTCTACGTAAGTTCATAGCCTTTAACTTGTCTTTAAAATTTAAAAAACTTTAACATATTACGAAAATTCATTTAAATAAATCTTTGTTCACTCATGCCCAATTATTTAAACATATCATTCTGGTTAATTGCTCTTAGAAAGAATAAATCAATTCATAGGAGGTGTAAATTATTATGACCTGGTACTGAACAAATAATGATCAAGCTGCTGATATATTGAGCAATATTTTAGATAAACTATTTTCTTATTCAGGTAAACAAATAGCAGACCGGAATTGTGTTTACATTCTCAACAGACCGGAAGAGTGTACATTTACCTCAAACGACAAAGAATAAGATAAATTGCAAATCGTGTTATGATTTAATATTAAATTCAATACCTTGGATATAAATTGTGACTCACCGTAATAATTTTTCAACAAGTAGTTTTCCAACAAATCCGGAACCTCCCGTGACAAGTACATTACATCCATTAAAAAATTCAGTAATTTCACTTATTTCTTCAACATCTCCATTCTCTGTTTCCAGCCTCATTTTTTCCATCTCACCTCGATCTTTCATCAATGTCATTTTCAATAGCTTATCCTTAAAATTTAACTAAAATTCAATTTACAGTTACGAAAACAAAAATTTTGAACTTTAATCAATTAAATATTAATATATTTATCAAATAAATAAAAATTTCATTTAGTTTGAATAAATGGTTATTAATTTTTTGCAACGACTAATAAAACAGGTATTGGTAGTCAGAAGAACGGATAACCGAAGTGAGTTGAATGACGATCAAGTGAGGACTGAAACTTCGGTAATTAAACATTGAACTCGATCCATAGCTGAAAATTGAAAGTCAGACTATCGTTCGCAAATTATGTAAATTTCTATGAATTTCAACTATGGTTATAATGCACACATTTTTTAAACATTTCTAAATCTAAATAAAATAGTACGGAATAATTCATAGAAAATTTTGGTGAATTAGAATTAAATCCATAAAACATGCTATTAAGTCATTGATCGAAAAGATTTCTGAAAATTTGTTAGCCGAAAATCACAAGTCATATTCATATAATTCATAGAATTGAATGAATCAACGAATTATAACATATCAGGGGTCAATTCCGGTTTCACCCGTTGATGACAACAGCATTTAATTTATATTACAATGTAGCGACTTCATTCCAAGTGCATTTAGTAAAGCAGTGCATTTATATGAAATTTAAAGCATTGTATATACTTTTTATTCAAGAGGATTAAATTATCAAACAATAGTTCAACTCTGTTGTCATGATTCAGTCTAGTTTGGCCTTAAAACGATTCATTTATTTAAATATTGAGACGTAAGCGTTTTTAATTTCAGAAAATAATCCACCCATTCTCGCTTTAATGTCATTCTTATGAAAACTTTTCTTTTATTACCGTAGAAAACAACAAAAATTTGTACCAGTTATGTTAATTTATTATTGCCTTTCGTTCGAAAAAAAACTATATATATTCATATGTATATACAGTTTCGCATATTACATGGCACAATGTTTAAACATAAAAGATGATGTCATTACATACGCTGGTATTTTTCATGTTAACTTATTAATTTTTTTTTTATATATATATATAATTTGTTTTATAATTTAAAATCACTTTATTTCTTTCTAACTTAGTTAAAGCTTTTAAATAAAAATATTAATAAAAAACAATAATGTGTGAAAGTATCTCTCTATTGTATAACATTTTTTTACGTTTTAATTTTCATGATTGAATAATAAAAACAAAATTTATATTCCATACTAATAAGGCAAATCATTTACTTCGTATTGCATCTTTTCAATTAAAATTAATCATCATCAAGCATACTTAATGGATCTTCAACAATTTTTTCAGCAGTTTTTCTTAAATCTTTTGTGATCGATTTTTTTACTGGCATACGATTCTCGGTCTCACCCAATGTTGATGTAGAAGATAGTTTCTTTGTAAATAAATCTTTACCATCATCATCTTCAGCATCTTTAAAAAATAATCCCGATGAAGAATTTTTTGATAGAGGTTTTTTAATTGTAAAAAAATCATCTTCACCACTCGAATGATCACCAAAAATATCTTCTAACTTTGTTTTAGGAATTTTTGTTTTTGATGCAAACAACTGATCATTTTTTGTTGATTCGAACGAAGGTTTTTCACTGGCATCGAAAAATAAATCTTCCTCATCATCATCATTATCAAAGTCATCGCTAGTCTTAAAAGAAACGCCAGAAGCATTCATTTCGTTAATGTTATCTGACTGTTCTGGTTTACTTTGATTACTTTTTTTATTATGCACTGAGCCAAATAAATCATCTGTTTCATCATCACTTTCAATGTCATTGAATAAGTTATTTTTACCACTGTCCTTACTCGATTTTTTTACTGGTTTCGTAAAGGGACCAGAAAATAAATCACTGTTAGAATCATCATCAAATAAATCTAATGATCTTTTTGTTGATTCAGTTGAAAATGATGATTTCTTCATATTCTTGGTAAACAAGCTATCATCTTCATCAAACAATAAATTCTGACCTTTTTCTGGTGACGGTGTTTTGGTGACAAATGCAAAAAGTTGACTGGGATCCTTTAATGGATCATGATTTCCATCACGTAAAGGATCTACAGGTTCTTTTGAGTTCTCTTCATTTTTAACTGGTTTCTTCTCTTCTGATAATTTATTTTCTTCTTTTTTACTCTGCAAAACAGAACTTTCTTTTTTTCCATAATTACTAACATTTTCAGGTGACTGACGTCTTTGAATTGGTGAAAGAATAGGAGCACGACCAAATAACCCATCTTCTTTAGGTGGATCTTCAGGTAAATCAGGTGGTACATCAAAAAGATCTTCTTCGTCAGTTGATGGTGACATTAGTGTATTTTTAGTTGTACTAATTGAACCTTCTTTTCCTACACTAATTTCAGATTTATCTTCTGTGGCTAAATGCAGACCAGATTTTCGTTTCATTAAGGATTCTTCTTGATCATCAGCATTCGGTGCACTTAATCTTTCATGCTTCAGATCCAATATTGATGAATCAACAGTAGATTCCGATTTATCAACATCATCAAAATCAATACCACTTGTTCGTAGAGCTGATTGACGAGCATGTCTACTTTGAGGTCTTCGTTTCATCGGGATTCTCGCTCGATTTTGAAGAATCTAAGATGATTTATAATGAGTACAGAACTTAACGTAATTATTAATATATAATCTTACCTTTGAGCCTTTTATTGTTTGTGACTCAGCTTGAGCTGGAACATCAAAACTAACAGCTGATTCTATTTCGATGGACGGAGACAATGGTGCTTCTCTTTTTGAAATACTTTCATCTAAAACAGGAATTTTTTTCTTTTAAAAATAATTCTTTAATACTTACAAATCATAAATTTAAGCAAACTTACTAGGTGTCAATGGTGGTGATTTTGCACTTGATATACTGAAAGAGCTTCCATCTTCGCTATCACGATCTGGAGTAAGATCGCTATCACTTAGCTTTTCTCCAATTTTTCTAAAAGTCAAAGGTGTATCCGTTGGAGAGAGAATTTTCAAATCACCCATTTTTCCCATCAAATCTTTAATTTTTCCTGAAACTACTCGACGGGGTGCTGAGTTAGAATCATCATCACTGGTGATAGTGGGTAATCGGATTTTTAAACTGGTTGGAGGTTTTTTAATTGAATTATCTTGAATTAAAATTTCTTGCTTAGAATGATCCATTTTTGATATTTTTCCTCCATCAACTGTTGATGTATTTTCTATAATACTCTTTTCTTGAACTAGTGCACTAGATATCATTGTATTTTTATCAGCCAATCTTTCTTGTGTAATCGATTCTGTTTCATTTATTTCTAACGACATAGGTTTCTTTTTACTAAACAAACTGTCATCATCGCTTTCGCTATCATGAAAAAGTTTACTTTCAGAACTTATATCTCTAGCTACTTTAGCTGACGCCAGTGCTTGTTCACTGTCCCGTTTCTCTTCTAATTTCACTTTACTATTTTTCTCTCCCTTCTCCGCCGCCGTTTCTACAGTAGAATCTTTTTTCGGCTTTGCTAGTTCGTCTTTATGCGCACTATCGGAAGAGTTTGTTAATAGATTATCATTTCCACTCAACATGGCCGATTGTTTTGTTACTTTAGGACTGAATAAATCATCTTCGTCGTCACTATCATCGAAAATATTTGGAATTTTATCAGTTAACTTTGTCACAGTTGATAACGGTTTTGCGGCGGCGACAGTTTCTTTAATGAAACGACTGTTAGAAACCTTATTAGATGACGTATCGAATGGCAATTGCGAAATTCGTGGTTCAGATGGTCCAGGGGCGAAAATGTCAATGTCCGAAACACCTTGATTGGCAAAGATATCAATTTCTTCATCAAAAATTCCTTTTTTCTGATTACTTTTTGACTTGTCAACGTATTGTGACGAGTTTGCCAGCAAATCCGCACTCTTCTGCGAACGAGAGCCAGAACTAGTGTTCGAAAATAGATCGTCACCCGAATCTGAGTCGTCAAAAAGAGAATTTACTTTGGACTTGGACTTGGAGTCAATTTTGGACAGTGGAGGTGGACTGAATACGTCATCGTTGAACAGATCATCCTCTTGAGTATTCGATGATTCTTGTAAGAAAGTTCGATCATGTAGTGCTGGACTACTTATATCACTTCCAGAATTAGTAACCTCTTGACGTGCTGCATTCAACAAGCTATCACTAATAACTCTTGCACGAGAAAATTCTTCTGCTGACATTCGACGTGTTGATGTCAATTCTGGTGATCTAAAAACAAAATAACACTTGTATATTATTATATTTACGTCTAAAAAAAATACTCATTTTAATTACTGTTAATTCTTGTTTACAGATTTATCGATATACTAAACGCGTGATACTTTCAATAAAGCGTACAAAGCGTAGATTGAATGACTCATACGGTAATCGAGAGTTTAGATGGTTTCGTACCGTGACTGTGATAGTAATGTATTGTTGATTGCTCATGGCTAACAAGATGTTGTGATTATTATGATTATAACGGACTGTATGATTCGCAAACTATAAGTAGAATATAAAGAAAAAAATGGTTGCCAATGAATTTTTTCTAAGCCACATTCCTTTGTTAAATTTAATTTAAAATAAACTTTAAACAAATAACTTTAATTCTAAATAATTTCTCACCCAAACTCTGCAGAACGAATACTGCCTAAACTCGGTGGCTGAAGAAATATGCCACTACTGTTATTACTGTCTCCATGAACCATGTGAGCAATAATTATACTTGGATTAGAAGGAGCATTGCTAACGTTATAAGAAATCTCAGTGTTATTCTGTACACTTGCTGATGTAGTTTTATCGTCTTGAAATTCAGCTCCATCTTCGCTTTCAGATGACTCAGAAGATTCTTGGTTAGTTCTTTGAAAGAGTCTACTACCAAGACTGGATGAAAGCAGGTCACTTTGAATGGTTGGTAAACCTTGTAGATTCTACAGTAAATAGAAGACTTATTTAAAATACAATTAATTAATTGTTTCGTAATTGAATTGATAATGGTTTTTAAAAATATCAATTATCAAGTTCTAATTTACAATGAGAAATTTCAAAACATCATGATAATTATTTCTAATTTACATCTAACCTCTTGTCTTTCGATCTTTGACACTTCAGCTGATTTATTGGAACTAGCATTCGTAACAGGACTAAATAGATTATCATTATCGCCAAAAAAGTTGGGAATGTTATCAAATCCTGGTGTACTAGTTGACATTTCTCCAGCATTTATCCTAGGATCTAATTTGTTCTTTGGTAAAATAGTATCACTAGTTTTATCTGTACTAGTTTTCGTAGAGATCTTTGGTGAAAACATATCATCAGAATCTTCCGAATCAATATCACCAAACAAATCAGCCATAGCAGACTTCGGTTTTGTTTCTGAAGAAAAAAAACACATTGATCAAACATCGTGACTAAATATATCTCATAAATGTATTCATTAGAGGTAATAAATTCTACTTTAACATACCAACTGGGTGAATAGGTGGTGGTACATCCATACTAGCAGGAATTATATTGGTCTGTGGTCGTTTAAATATTTTATTATCCCACAAACTATTCGATACTTCTTCATTAAACAGATTACTATTAAATACATTGTCAGATTTAACGCTTAGTATATTCTCATCATTGTTATCTTCTGAATTGAATAGATCATCTAAAAATAAAAAGTATTTCTTATTTATATACTAATAAATATAAACAAAAACTACTATACCTTCAGAACGATTAATAGAAGGTGAATGATTCTCTTTAAAAGTATTTGAAGTAGATTCTGCACTTGGTACTATATTACCGAGTTTTTTGTTCAGTTCTTTAACAAAGTTAGGTGTAATTTTGTCAGTATGACCTAATTTCGGTACTTCATTGATTGGTGTCGTAATTTCTGAGGTGGAACTAAGAGTATCTTGACTTCTTGTGTATAATCTGTCAGCGTTTGAACTGGGACCACTAAACTGTTTAGTAGTATTACTTTTATTAAAATCACTCGATTCTGATGAACATGATGGTGAAGATGATCTTGGCCTGAATACTGGATTACGATTAGAAGAATTAAAGATACTATCAACTACTTTATTATCTTCATCACTTTCACTATCATCTTCATCTTCTACTGCTTCAGATTCACTACTGCTGCTGGATTCTATTCCAATTTTATTCGAAGCCTTCCATTTATCAGTCCCTATGATATAAGGCAATGGACGATCTTTATATGGATCTTTTGGTCTTAATATGAAACTTGGCGCTGATATTTCTGTTTCATCTTCACTATCACTAGCAAGTACCTCTCGCCTTTCATATTTCTCATCCATAAATTGTATACCTTTATGAATATTTTCGCTAACAAGTGCTATCATTTCTGCTTCACTCAATTCTTTTGATTCTTCTCGGTTATTAGATTTCTTTTGTTGTTCATGTTCTTGATCATCTTCATACACTCTACTTTCAATAAACTGAGTATTAGCCAATGCTAGAGAGGCATTTGTAACATTATCAATCAAAACAGTTGTTTCATTTAACTGACTACTAAGTAAATCAAGATTCTTTTGTGTATCTTTTACTTTTGCCGTCAATGTCTGTGGGCATAAATAAATATAGAAAATTAATAATGAAGTGAATATAAATGTATTACAATTATTATTCACCTGTGAAAACTGTTGAAGATGTTTCAATAAGCCAACATCACCTGCTAAACTCCATTCGTTTCGATTTTCTCTCATTTCTCGAGTCGTCCATGGATGATCCCATGGTTTTTCGACTTCATCTGAGGTCGATGTATTCTAAAATTACAATATTTATATTTGCATGGTAAATTATATGAATGCTGAATAATAGGTCATTAGATTACAATGATTCAATTAACCAAAATTAATAGATTACTGATTATCTATTATTATTATTGACTACATTGTTACAATATCAACAGTTCAACACCTACCATGTTGACAGTATCTTGGAGCCCAAAAACAGGATAACATTACAAATAAAACTATGAAGAGTCAATCATGAATTACTCAAATATTGTTAATTTAGTTTGAGAAAGAATATGCTTATCTAAGCTTCTTACTTTTACATACAGTATTTGAATTACAATTATCACTGTGCAAAAAAAAACTTAAAGGCATCTAATCATTGAGACTGGTTCTGTGAAAATGGCGCTACTGATTTGCAGATTTTTTATGAACCACAATAAAAATATCACCTTTCAGTTGATAGAAAAGAACTTTAACTAAGCATCAATCGATATGATAGAATTACATTTATTCTTCACACAAAAAATAATTTGTTCATTTGTTTGTAGACAATTAGGTATTATTTATCAATAACCAAACAAAATATTTATAATTTCTGTTTCTGACCTTTTTAATACTGAAATTTTTTTTCAAAAAGACATCAATCTTTACTTACTTTACTTTAATCAGTTGTTTTTGCTGATTCTAAATCAAAAATTTAGAAAGAGAATATTTCCCAAATTTAGATTGAGATAAAGCAATGTTACAAAAACTCCAATATTTGTGAGAATCCAAAAAACTATATTTATTATGAACTTATTGTTATGATATTGTAATAACAAAGTAAATATACTATCAGAATCATACAAAGATATGACTAAATTTTATTACTTGTTCTAAGATTTTGTAATATGTACAATGTTACTTATTGTAGTATGGACAGAAAGACAGTAGCAATGGTACAAAAGTTGTCAGTAAAAAATAAGCCAGCCACAATAAGAGAATCGATTCCACTGTCAGAAACGTGTAGTGAGCAATCTTTAATCTATGAAATAATAATAATTAATTATTTTATTATTTCTAAAAATACTATAAATTTCTTACTTGAAGTATCGCTTTTTTTGAGCAGGAAGAGTGTCCCATGTGTCCTTAAATATAAAGACTCGTATACCTCTCATGTAATGATAAGAATAATCTTTCCAATTTAAATCTCCAACGTTGAAGTAATATATTTTTTTGTCAATTGGATTTAATTTATTCCACAATCTTCTGACATTTTTATTGCCAAATGTCCATTGATTAGTTGAAAAGTAAGTGATAACATGCAAGAATTTATGAATTTTTTTGTAAATATTTAGAACTCTAAAACATATAAAAAGAAAAGAGATAAATTAACGAATCATCTGAAAGACATATCAAAATCTTTAATAGAAAAAAATTCTCACTGAGGTTTTCTTCCTGTTATAAAAAGGCCTGCATCAATAATAGCTGCTGGTAATAGATGGTATAAAAATAAATGGATCAGATGAAGCCAATAATATCTATCTACGCAAAGCATATAATACCATAACGTTTTTACTGATGGTATTGCAACTCCATGTAGTTCACCATAACTAAGATACCGAGACCAACTAATAGGATTGTCAACAGATGATACAACATTATAAATTTTTGGTTTTTCATCTTCTTCTGGTTCTTCAGTGAGTTCATTTTTTTGAGAACTTGGTAAAGTTCGTAAAGGATCCGTACGTCTAAAAAAGTGATTTTTTTTAATGAGAATCAAACAAATGAAAAAACTTTCTTTGCATTAGAAATAAATCAAACCTTTGTGTTCCAACATCCCAAGCTGCAGCGATGATGTTGTTGATTACATAATCAGCTGGTATCATATCAGCAATGTAATCACCTTTGGCATTAATAGTATGAAGAATACCTAATGACGAAGCGACAGCTACACCAGTGGCTCCATAAAGATTATTAATCCATCCAGGAATAGGTTCATGTGCTGTTGATATCATAATAGATGGACGAACGATACATACTGGTAAACCTTTGCTGTGACATAATACAGCGTCCTCAGCAACTGTTTTTGTAAAAGCGTAAGTGTTTGGCCATTTTCCTATCAATCTGAGATAAAAAATTATTTCATATGAGATTATTGTGTAACAATGTATATTTTAGCTCAGAATAAATTTCAGAAAACTTACGTTGGAGTTATATGTTCTAAAGTGGGATCATCAAGTATATCAATAATAGTTAGAAGATCATCAGCTCCGAGGAGAGTTTTATAGAAAACTTCATCGATAAATTTATTCACGCACATTGAAAAAGCAGTTCCAATATGAACAACAGCCTGTTTAGAATGGAAACAAAAAATATTGGAAATTTTAAATTAATCAGAATTTATTTGATAAAAATTAAATAAATTATTACCTTCAAGTTGGGCATTTCTCTGGCATAAAGAAGAATATCTCTTGTTCCTCGAATATTGATATTGGCGGCAAATCTTAATTTATCATCAAATCGTACAGTTGCAGCAGCATGAAACACAACATGAGTGTTTTTCATCATTTCTCGATCCTCTGGAGTCAACACTAGACCTTTTGCTTCGAAGCTACCTTCAATCATCATGACTCTTGTTGCATAATCAGGTTGCTCAAATTTTAATCTATCATAAAGCTAAAAATTCCAAAAATTCATTCGTTATTTATTTTACAGAAATAAAAAATATTTTACTGTATTTCAATACTAACTGGATCTTCAAAGTGTTCCTTGAGTCGATCTTGTGGAGTTTTTCCTTTCTTCGGACGCATCAGAAGGTATATTTTTTTGAGTTTTGGGCATGTTCTAATGAAAAGTAAATTTATCGATAAGAATAGAACTTTAGATGTGATTCAAAAAATTTTATAAAAGCATGACTGATAATAAACACGAAGAAAGGACTTTATATCATTCTCGAGACTATATCGCTATGTAGTTAATTATTTCTAAAAGACGTTCGAAATTTTTCCACTGTTTTTCATAACTTACCGTAATAATTTTTCTACAAGGACTTTTCCAACAAATCCTGAACCTCCGGTAACAAAAATGTTACATCCAGTAAAAAATTCAGTAATTTCACTTATTCTTTCAACATCTTCGATTTTGGTATCGACAACCATTTTTTTCACCTCATCATGGTGTGACACCAACGTCATTTTTGAAGTTATTTTATATGTAATCTAAATGATTGTTTGATATTTAATACAAATTTTTTATCGATTAATTTTAATAAATAATGAATTGATAAATAAAACGAATTTCATTTAATGATAATGTAAAATTAAATTTTTTTATTTTTATGAAACTTTTTTACTCTTTAATTTTTAGATGATTAAAGATGTTTTCTAATTTTATTATAATATATATGTACTATTTATATTATTTATTTTATGTTTACACTACTTAAATAATATATTTACACTGCTGAATGTAATAATCAGCCAATTAAATACTTGTTAAAATTATTAAGAGTAATTACTTAATAATCTGGATGTAGTTTTATAGAACGGGTGTAGCAAAGGTACTAATGGACGAACTGAGTTAATTGAGGAACAAATAAAGACTAGATTTTCCTATTTAAACTGTGAACTTTATGCATACCTAAAATTGATAAATCAAATTATCGATTGCAAATTATGCAAATTGTTATGCATTTAAATTTGAATTACAATGCGTACGAATTTCTAATGTTTTTAAATTCATTCTAGGGTGAATCAGACTGATGTCAACCTGCTAAGGGATCCGTTAATTATATTCCACACTTTTTTTATTGCCTGGACATGAAGTTATATTAACTGTTGAATTATTGTAAAAAGTGTCAGCAACAGGAAAGTTATAAATAGTGTTGAATCTTTAATTAAAAAAGAGAGAGTTACTCTTATGCCGATGTAAATGCCATTCACGTAAGCAATCACTGTGTGAGTTTAAATTTACGAAAATTATCTTATTATTCTATAAGATAGTTGTTCGAAATTTTTATTTACAATCATTAACAGATTGAAAGAATAAAGAGAAAGCTGAATGAGCTATTACTTAAATATTTTTAAACTCAGCGTAAATAAAAAAACACTAACTTCCGGCATCATTCCGTAGCAATTTTTTTTGTTACAATTCAAAGTGAGTTCAAGTTAAAGTTCAATCGTGAAAAAATGAAAATGATAATAGCATTAATATATTTAAAAATATTCCGACTAAAAATTACAGAAAATTAAAATTTGTGAAAATTTTAAGTATTACTACTAAACTATCGATTGAAAAGAAATAAAATCAATATCCATTAGTTTTTTTTTTTTATTTTCATGTCGTTCATTTCGAAATAATATAAAACTATTGGCATCAAAATCAACATTGGGCACAAACTGATGAATAGCTAAAATTCTGCTTCATCACTGTGAAAAAAATGGACATAAATAATCGAAAGTAATTCTTTCAAGGAATTAAAAAATGAAAACTACCTATCTGAACATAAATGAAGATTTCATATTTTTGAGAATTAATTATGACCTACTTTTCCTTAAGGTCGTTAACATAACTCAAACATTATAAATTCAACGGCTTCACTATTGTATTAAAGTTTGATTATAAATGGGCAATAATGAATGAACACGTGCCATAATAGGCGTTTAATTAATCCTATTCGTAGCATGGAAAACTTTGAGAAAATTAAACTTCATTTATTCTTTATCAATGAAGACATCGACGAAATAAACTATCTCTTGGACTTCATACCGAGTTAGTGCTTTACGGCAACCGTGTGTTATTTTTAGAAGTTTGCATCTTTATGGATCGAAAAACATTTCCGGTAGCTATTTTCAAATATTTTTCGGAATCGAAACTAGTTATAGGAATGACTTTTTTAACTTGTTATCTGCAAGTAATTTTGATTATTTTATTTAAGCACTTTAAGAACTCAAGAACCTCACAATAAATCAGACACATTCTTGGAAAATTTTATTATGATGACGAAATTTGAATTTCAGTGGTGAATCAACATAATTATCGTTATTTTACGTCAATACGATGTTGATGTCATTAAATTATAAAAAAAATGTCTGAAATCGTTTTTGATCATGAAAAGTAATATTTTATAGTTTTGTTGCCAGAAAATTTTTGTGTATTTATTTAATCATTAAAAAACATGGATATGAAGTTTATATCATCTAATAAAAAATTTATTTGGTCTCATAACTAACTACAAAATAAACAATGACATGGTGAATTTTAAGAATATGAGTAATCATATTTATTCATTAATATGTTTCATTTTCGATCTATTTAAGAACAATCATTCTTTGTGTGTTATTTTTCATAATAAATATTCATGAAATTATTTAATTAGTGCATGTGTTAACTCAACAATACCAATTTGCATCTTATAATCAAAGTCACAATGTCATAGCTTTCAAACGATTCGAATAATTTGCGCCAAAGTTAAAATTTAAATAGGTGCCTACTTTATCGGTATGAAAAATTGAAGAACTACAGCGCCACAGATTGTTTGTCAATAATTATTTTCAGTCATGGAGCATCAGCCAATTTTCAGTCTGCATCTTATTTACTAGTATTAAAACATACGATTTTTAAATATTAACTGATTAACTTGCATCTTAAATTGTTAAATTATTTATTAAAATATCAGATCAAAAGTGAATTTTATCCTATTAATAGTTCATGGTGGACAATTAACACAAGTATTAGAACACAATTCAAGCGTATAGCTGTCAATGGATGCCTAAAGGATGATAAATGATTGTTCTGATTTTAATTGATTTATTTGAAATTTACAAAAAAAATAGTGATAACAGATAATAAGTGAATATACCTTATAAAAATAGCTAAACATAACTAAAAAAGACTGAAAACTGGGTTAATAAATATGAGTGTATAGATGAAAAAAATATTAGAAAAAATTGTGAAATAAATTAAATTTCATTGATTAAGTTTGGTTAGTAATAGATTCAACAAAAATATTATATACTTTAATTGATACATTAAAAATATAGAAGTACTGATTTTTTTTCTTATTTTTAGGTCACTATGGCTAATGTCAATTCGATAGCATTACAAGAAGGTGGTGGAGTTAATAATAATATCCAGAGTCATAACCAAATGTGCAGTATATCAAGTTGATGTATATATCAACATTTTGAAAATATTAATAATTGAATTAATGATATAATTATACTAGCTCTTTTCGAGCATTTTGATAACTGGAAATTCGCTGAACATTATAAAACAGTTTTAATGAAGTTTAAAAGCCGTATCAAGAGGCACACTCTCATCTGAGAAGCTTCAGTGGTGTACAACTGATTCCGATGAACAATGAACCATTCGGGAAGCGGTAAACGTCAGGCGAAGGTTTTGGAAGATAATTATTGGGATTGCAGTGTCTGCACGTATAGGAATACAGCAGAAGCATTTAAGTGCCTCATGTGCGACGTGCGTAAAGGTACTTCAACGCGGAAGCCCCGCATAAATCCACAACTAGTAGCGCAGCAGGTCAGTCAGCTTTACAAATCTCTCCATCAGCTGTCGGCTTGTCTGGAAGTACAACAAGTTTAAATTCTTTTGTTACAGGTTGCTCAGCAACAATACGTGCCGCTATTAAAGCCAGGAAAGAAAGAAGGCGGAAGTGGAAGCAGTACAACTAGTTCCTCGAAAGATAAAGAGCGTAAGTTGGATAAACCAAGGAGGAAGAATCGTCATCCACCTCGACTTAAAAATGTTGATCGTAGTACTGCCCAAACCAATGAAGTAACTGTAAACAATGTAACTGTAGTTATAACTGAGTATAAACCGAAAATAAAAAAGGGCTCTGATCAGTCAGGATTATCAAGCAGTGGATCATCAGAGAATGGAAGTCAACATGACTCCAATCAAGACTCTCGAAGTTTGGATATAGGAACAGATGCTTAGTTTAAAATCCTAGTGTATTTATCATCCTTATATATGAACTTAACATATGTTTTTAATTACTTGACCATTGCACAGATTTAGTATGTATGATTTTTTTTTATTAAGATAAGTTTTAAAGTTAACAAAAAGTCTATGGTGTTGAAGGTGAAATAATTATTTGATAATTAACTCTTTGCTCAATTTTGGTGTAGTAAAATAATGATTTAATGACTGTTCTATTACACGGTTAATCAAATGGTGCAAGTGCCTTTTTTGTTATTTATAAAGACTATCCATTGCGCCCAGAGCAAATTAAAATAATATCCAACATTGTTTTGATATAGTTCCATCATATAATATTAAATGCAGACATTCGAAACTATTTTATTACTCCTTATAATTTTATACAGACACTTGAACAAATGTTTAAATTAATTTCGTTTATTAACTGACACTGCCATAGAGCAAAGATTTATCGTAAAAATTTTGTTTATTTATGTTTTTAACAATTTTAGATTAAATATTTATCTTATTTGATAAAAAAATTTTAATTTGTATCGTTAGTTGGGCAGAATATAAACTTTTCTTATTATCTAAGAATTATTTTCATAAAAATCTGTCATTAAAAAAATTAAAATTTGGTAAAATTTATTATGTAAATAGCATGTTCTGAGGGTACTGGTGTCCCAAATAAGTTTATCGATAAAATATTAGTATTTTAGGTGAAAATAGTGCGAATATCTTTTACGATTATAGCAAAAATAATTTAATAAGAATCACTATTTTATGCTCTTTTTATTTTCTGAATAACAACTTCCATTAATAGATTATCATTTCATTATTATGTAAGAGAATAAGAGATATAAATCGTTTTAAAAAAAAACGAAATTCTCTAAAAAATCAATACAAAATTTTTGTAAGGATAAATTAATTTTATCGTTAAGTTTATTATAAAAAAGCAAATTTTTTATTCGTTTAAAATTGATTATGTAATATGATTTATTATAATATTAAATTGATAAAAAATTTGTATGATTTATGCCCAAAATAGGATAACCGCTGTCTAAATTTCATTAAATAAATTTGTTGAATTAGATAAAATACATTTTAATCATATAAAAAGCATATAGATTTTTTTTTATTGACCAATAATACAACTCAAATGATTATTTACAATTTTTACTTGAACCTCCTTTTTTCTTCTTCCCTGTATTAATTGTTACTGTCTCCATATTATCAGTAACATCCATCATTTCTACATTTGATTGATTTTCTTCATTTAGACCGGCTTGTTCTCCAACATTCTCAATCAATCTTCTATCTTTAAATTGATTAATTACTGGAAAAAAAAAAATCATAATAAATCCAAACTTATTCGAAGTGATAGAAAACGAATGTTAAGAGCTTACCATCTGTTATTTCCGTCAAGTCCCAGAGCTTAAAATTGTGGGATTTATTATCACCTCCAACGGCAAAAACAAAAGGATTATCAGGACATGCAGCTAAGCATTGAATATTCCCGAGATTTAGTTTTTTCTCCCAAATTTCTGTCAAACTCTCATGATTTACAGCATCCCAAACTTTTATTACGCCATCATTCGAAGTTGTTACTAATAATCCTGGACAGGATGAACTTAGAGATAAACCAGTAACCTCTTTTTCATGAGCTTTTACTTCCCACAAGTGTTTGCCTTGTCTTGAATCTATATATTCGATATTGCCGTTGTCAGTACTAATCTATAAATTAAAAAAAAAACATTAACGAATTGTTTTTATGATTAATTTTGTACAAAAACAAAGATAATCTTACGAAAAAATAATTCGGATCAAAGTGATTCCATAGTACTCGTTCAACTTCTCCTGTGGTTTCCCATGATTTGAATGTATCATCAACTCGACAGTCAAATACTTTAACAGTTCTAAAAAATATAGATTAATTTTATCGAATCTAAAACTATTATTAAAGATTAGAGAAACAGTTGATATTTTTTACATACTTATCAGCACATCCAGTTAATAACTTTTGAGTTTCCTTGGGATGCCATTGTATTGATTGAACCTTTTCATTAAATTGACTTAATTTGGTTACTGGAGTGCCATTTTCTAAATCCCACAATAAAACAGTTTCATCCACTGAGCCACTTGCCAAGACATGACTAGGTAATAATGGGATCATTAATATTAATGATAAGTAATTTTATCAATAGAAGATATTATATATTTACGTGAAATTATGATTCCATGCTAGATCTAATACTGCCTTTTTGTGTCCTATCCGTTTGAGTTGCTTTTTTTTATTAGGTTTGGATCCAAGTTTAAAAGCTGGCTCCAAACCATCAATCAAATCCAAATCCCAGACTTCAATTATTGGAGTCATATTTCCAATTGCACAAAAATTTGCTTCAATTTAAAAATAAAGAATTAAGTTCGTTCTTGCAAATAATTCATCCATAATAAATTACCGTATTTAAGTAATTTACCTGGTTTTGCATCCGATGGATCAAAATTCAACCATTCTAAGCACAACGGAAATGCAGGCAAAAGAAGATCATGATGACAGTAAAAAGAATTTTCCTTTTCGTTATACACTAAAATAAAAATAAAATTGGGCATTGATTAACTATGATTATAATTTTTATAAATAAATTGCTAGTTTACTACATACCGAATATTTCTAAAATGCTAGCATCTCCTTCAACATGCCCTAAGATAACTAAATTATCATCAGGTTTAATAATATCATCTTCTTTTTCTGAATCTTCGTCTTCGCTATCTGGAATTGTTACCAAAGGATCTCTGCCTTCTGAATTTACAACAGCTAAACTACCAATATGACATTGAATTTCTCCCGCTGTTGAGTTATATATTATTAAATTGTTATTTAAACAAAAATCAAATCAAGTTAATAATAAGTAAAATCAAAATAAAGCACCTTCTTCATCATAATTTTCAAAATCAAATTCATCTGATTCCATATTCGATTGTCTCGGTGCTGGATTATTAGTTGAAGACGAAGCTTCATTCTCACCATCTTCAGAATCACTTTCTGCATTTCTGTAATTTATATTTGTAAAAAATCACAATACATGATACTAAAATTTCCACAAACCATTTACTTACTCCAATTCAGATTGAGTTTTTTTAATAATGCTTTCAAGTTCTTGGGGTGTTAATTGAACCTGTAAAATAATATTTTTATATCATATTAATAATTAATTATTGTTGTGAACTATAATAATACAAGTTTTTATATTATAAAAATACTTTGTCAGGCACAGCTGCAGCAACACCCTTTTTTACCCAAGTTGTGCATGGAATCACATTCATTTTGATATAAAAAAAATTCTTATTTATATTAAATAATAAATTTATATTAAATTAATAAATTGTTGCTGGAACATAACCACCAACTACCACGTGTTTTTAAGAATTCTTAAATGACACTTCAAAGTGCCTGCTCTATACAGGCTGTCCTTTTTGGGGGGCTGTTTTTGTAATTGTAATTCGCCAGTAGAAGACGCTGAAGTATTAAACTCAAACAGCGGTAATTTTAAAAAGTGTATACATTGAATACAATCCATAGATTCCATTATTGATTTATAAACAATTCGATGTTTTATGCGGTTATACGAATTCATAATATTTTTAAATTAATTAACAACTGGCTAAATTGTTTAAATCTTTTGGTTCTATATAAATGATTTTGAACAATTAGAAATTAGTAGTTATTTTACATAATTCTTTTGTTTTTTACGATCGTAATTTAAATTAATTTCCACCAACATTCTTTCATCAATTTTTTACATTCGTTGGGGTTATTAATATTGAAAATAAATTGAATAAATACAACAACACAATACTTATATCTCAGAAAAATGAAGAGTAAACCTAAAACTGTACATTCAAGGTCACGTAATACACATGCTCTGGAGTCAATGCAACAGTTTATTGATAAACATGTTAAAAATGATATAGATTGCAATATTCAGAGGTTATATGAATTAGTTATCGATCCAATAACTCAAGAAAATAAAGAATGGATTATACGATTACTTAAAGATATTCTTCGAGAAATTGGATCCACTGGTTATGTATCCTTTCCCAACTTTTATATTAATATTAGAATGAATATTCATTATTTAGGAAAAAATTTCTTGACAAATTGATTAGAAGGTTAAACATCTTCCAGCTATGATGCAAATTTTAGAATTCATAACATGGAAGTGTCATGATACACCGGAATATAACATCTATTTGAATAATCTACTTCGCATTTGTGCTTACACACCACTGCTAGAAAGATATTCAGAAAATTTAACATGTTCTGAAATTCTAGATCACTATTTTAGTGTGTTAGGATACTTAGCAGTTATATTATCAGATCATAATGATGTCAAAGTATTAGATGTTTTAGATCAATTATTAACAATACAGAAGTCTATAAATATTGCTGAAGTAAAGCAAGATATCATTCATCAGTCAGTTGAACGATCTAAGCTTCCAATTGTTCTTACTGAACTTTTAATGATTTGCTCAAGTAAAATTTACAAAAATGTTTTAGATACCACCTATGTTGTTACTTCAATATCCAATACTTGTTGTAAGTGAATATGATACTTTTTAAATCTAATCTAAAGTTTTTATAAAAATTATCAAAACAGTTTTATTCACGTTCAGATAATACTTCTGATTACTTAAGGTCACAAAATGCTAGCGGCTGGAGTTCTTAATTACCTTTTGTCAAGATTGATTGAATTGTCAGACGACCAAGTAAATATATCATTAGACGACGATAAAATTAATATAATTGTTGTAACAACCAACATTTTGTGGTTACTGATGAAATCTATAATGCCTCCTGAACGATTACCAGATAGTTTGAAAAGTTTACCTCCACCATCTCCAAGTGCTATGAGGTTTGATAATAATTCCAATATTCACTTAGTTTTTAAACAAAAGTTTTTGTCTCTGATTATTTACTTACCATAAACTATCAATATTTAGATCTTTGAGAAACCTATTTAGAATGATTGTTTTCTGTAAAAATTCCAATAGTAAATTGCATATGATTCGAAATGATTTAACTGCAATTATTCTCGCTGGACTCATAGGTTTACCTTCATTACCTCTCGTGAATTTTGACTTATCCGATGATATTATAAAAGTAGCTGTAATGAAAGATACTCAATATGTTGAAGATGTTTTCTTTAGAAAAACACTGTTATTGATTATTTGCCAATTTTCAAAATTCGATAAATTAATTCCTGTAAAAAGATTTTCGAATCAATGACTTTATAGCTCACATTTAATTGTTTAATAAATTAATACTGGAAATTTTTTACAGATTATGATTGAATATCGAGTGATTGAATATATTCTTCAGTTATTAGAAAATTTCAATACAAATATAAAAGCTCCATACTTGATACCTTATGCTTTGCAAACTTTAACTTTCGTTGTACCAAAAATGTCTGATGAATTTGTTAAATACAAAGGATCAAGTAAACTTTTAAAAGTAGTAGAATGGAATATGACTGCTGATATAAATTCTAAAGATACTTTAGAAAGTGTTAAAACTATTCTCTCAATTGTAACATCTAATTCTCCAATTGTAATAACAGATTTTCTTGAAGCAAATGCTGTAGAAATTCTATATCGTAAGCTCTTAAACAATTATTATTATTATTTATTATTATATGCATAATTATGAAACATAAAAAATAGTTGATTTTATTATTTTCAGAGTTCATTGAGAATATTTCTAGCATTACGCCATTAACATTATGTCATCAAAAAATTGTAACAATTCTAATAATTATAATTGAAACACTTTTTATGGGCAATAAAAAAGTTGTTGAGTATTATGGAGAACAAATGATTACAATTTCAGTCAAAATTATCGAAAGATATTTATATACTGAGCGGAAGAACTTCGTAATAGACAATAAGTAATAAAAATGAAGTAAATGAAATGAATGCTCTAAAGCATTATTATGTTAATTTTTTATTCATACTATTATAGGCTACTTATAGCAATAGCTTCCTGTATGTGGGAGTGTACTACTTGTTATCCTACATTGATAGAAAATTTTATTAGAATGCAAGGACTTCATTTAACCCTGGATGTCATAGAGCAGGCCGACAGACATGTTCAACATATTTATTTAGGACTTTTGATTGATTTGTGCTCGAATCCTTTATGTATACCGTATATTTACTCTTGGAAAGGTACTGACAAGTCAAATGGGGTGATGTCATTGCTAACAAAATTGTGGAGAGAAGAAGAGAAAAAAATTGGAGTTAAAAGAACTCCAGAAGGCTGCATTGAAGGTAAATAATATGGAATATTTATTGAAAAAAATTTGATTCTGTCCACATGAATTATATATTTTAAAAAAAGATTTAGAGCTGCCAATAATGGGAACAATTCAATGGGAAAAAAGCTTTATATCAAAAACTGATCAAGACTACAGTCCTGCAATTGCAAATATGATTGGTTCTGTAAGACCTAAAGTCTACAGCATTAGAAAAATATTATTAAATAACGCTAATTTATCTGAACCAACCAATGAACATTACGAAACACTTCACCATTTATCTGTCGAAAATTCTATTACATTTTGCATTGTTGATCAGTTCTTCAGATTTGTACAAGGTCAGGTTTGGGCAGAAGTTCTTCGTTATATGAGACAAGCTGGAGTAATTCCAGTAGGTACTGATGGAGAAATGTTGCTTGTAATGAGACAAAGGCATCGACAGTGTGCTGCTTATGTTCAAAAACGACAGGAGAAAATTTTGAGAGAAGTTAAGAGACAAGAAATGATGAAAGAACAAGAAGAATTCAATAAAATAAGAGACATTATTTATATCGATGTTTTGAAAAAATTACAAGATATCGATTACATTAGGAGAACTGCTGACAAAGAATATCGTATGAATAAAAAAAAGAAATAAACTCTTTATAAATTGTAAAAATAATTTAAAAGAATTTAAATTTTGAAATATCTTGCTCTACTTAATCGACAGATGATAAGTGATTACTATCTTACTGACTAGATGGCGTTTCATTTTAATTTTTAAATTACTCAAAAGAATGCAGATGGCTATTTGAATTGAAAACTAGGACTCCCCACTGAGCAGCTTTGTAAAAGCAGTGAGCGCCAAGCAGAGGGTCAATCTGATCAGTCAGTGAGAGCCGACATGTCGTTCAAGTAATAACTTGGATTGTTTGTAGAACCGGTTTTAAAAATTTAGTATCGTGGTCACGTACCAACAATTGGACATTTATTTTCTTTTACTTTAAGGATAATTAATATCAATATACATATTTGTGGTGTTTTTTCCATTGTATATTATCTATTCGTTAAGGTATTAACACTTTGAAAACGTGGAGATATTGAAAAAAAAGTGTTTTAAACCAGTGTGTGAATCATAAATAGGCGCCAAGAAAAGATTGCGACCTCGAGAATACAATCTGAAGGACGTCGGGCTTTAAGAGACGGTGTAGGGAAATAAAAGAACATCTTCTTCGAGGGGTCGAGCGACATTAAGTCGCGAAGTAGCGGCAGTTTATCGGCCCCAAGTTTTGGAATATGGCGTGTGAACGGTGTTTCTTGGTCCGCGGGTGTTTTATTGGATTCACATTGGCCTTCATCTTCGGATTATCCACAACCGCAACAGAATCAGGTGAGTGTTCAATTTTTCATTTTATTTATCTATACTTTATGGAATCATTTAAACGTTAATCACGTTCATTTCCATCCATACTTAAGTCGGGAAGGAGTGAGAAATGTTGCATGCCAATATGTACTTACATGTTTTAACTCCCCAGCAATAAGTAAATCTGAATAAGAAACCAAGATGAGGATGCGTCGACTGGCGACAAGCGTAGGGGGATTAGATCGGAAGAGAGACGCGCCTGAAGAAGGAGAAAGGAAAAAAAAAAATATCGTCTGTCTGACGGTGAATACAAGAGATCGTATACCACCCGCGCTTGTTTTCTCTTTTTTTCGTCTACGCAATTCCCACATGTATCCAAGATATCATTTTGAGCAGAAATATTTTTAAAATAATAGCGTTTAAAACTTCCTTATTACAAACGATTTGCAATCAAATCCTTTCCTGTTTTGTTATTAAGAGAGAAAATATTTATATTTTGAATCGTGTTTCTAGTAAAATCTGCAACTTGAGAACAATTCTGAGATAATCTCTCTAGAACAAAGGCATACATGAAAACATCCTTAAACATATTTTATTATCTGTGTTTTATTTACTTCGAAACATTAAACTCATGAATTATATTCTCCGAATTATTTCAAAACTATCATTAAAAATAATTAAACACTAATATATATATATATAAAAAAAATAATAACATGATTCATTGCTAATGTAATTTTTTTTATTGAAGCAACGATCTAAATTATTTTATCATGTTTTTACAACTGTTTGATAGTGTTGTGACGTAATATATTCTCTAAAGCTACTCAAATCGATACGTTTGATTTTATCTAATGTGTATTCCAAAGGTTAACATCATCGCTAACAATCAACAGGTCTTATATGTGTCTAAAATATATGATAGTATGAAGAAGCTGATCATCTCTGGGATATCTTGTTGTTAATGAATTAAATACTTATATAGAAATGTATTTGGAAAGAATTTTATTGGCAACAGATAGGTTTTATGTATTTATATCACATTATTAAAGTGTGAATATATTTCATTCATATATATATATATATATATATAACGATTAAGGTGATTTGTATTTGTGAATTACATGCACTTTGCGCTCTCTTATAATAAACTACGAAGTCAGAAAGTTATTATATGAATGTATATTCATATATAACATGGAATGTATAGTAAAACCACCTGATATTGCATTGCTTATGCAAACAAATATAAAATATTCAACGTCTTGAGTCGACTTATATCTTTCAAACATGAATTAGAACACAGCTGATGAAGAACTGCTAATGAAAAATATTTATTATAGATAACAGATGACTAAATCAATAAATTGTCCTATTACAGATAGTGTGGAAACAAAAATTACTCCAAAAATGTTGGATCAAGATAAAAGGTGAAACAAGTTGAATTGAAACGTAGTGATGACGTGTTTAGGTTTTTAGAACCTTTTACGACGTATTTTTGAATAACTTCAGATTCAGAAGGTGGGTTTTATGCGTAGTCAGTTACCAAAGATGGGCCATAGAATTAAAATAAAGGATTAATGGAGTTATAAAAAGAAATGAGTTTAAAATAATTGCTTTCTTGTTTTGGAGTATTGATTTATTGGGTACTTATAAACGATAATGAATGAATTTTTAATACTCTCAAAAATATATCAAACAAATAAAATACTTATCACATACTTTTCACTATTTAGGCTGTTAAAATTGTATGGCGCTTCCAAGATATCTCATGGGCATGTCACACAGCTACCCGTTATGTTGGTGCATGCTGAAAAAAACCAGAGACCTTCTACGGTCCGGTTCTTCAAGTCCAATCACTAACGAGTGTATTAAGGGAAAATAGGTCGGACCAAACCTCAGAGAGTTGCAGAATATTCTTTTTTTTTTTAAAAAAAAATAAAAACAAACTTAAACTCAATTTTTTTTTTTTTTTAATATCAATATCTATATCTTCAATTTGAACTCCAAATCAATCATTTTTTTTCTTGATAGAAATTTATTGTTTCTTTTTTTAATTTAATTTCCTTTTCTTCTTCTCTTTTTTTTCTGGGAATTTTTTATTACTTTTCTACTGGTGTTTCTCGTAATTACGAAATAAATAAAATTGTATTGAAAGTATAAGAAGAAATTTCTTGATTATTTTACGTCGATAAAAAGTAAATTGATGGAAAAAATTACCTATAGCCTTTCTGCAGTGAAGAATATTATGACTCATCCCTCCTACTACTAACGGTTCGTGTACCTGAAAGCTAGGGAACTTGTGGATATGTATTAATGTAGTGTAGTATACATATAAATCGAATACTTACACACGCAATATTGTAGATATACTCCAACCGCAACACAATATTGTTGTTGTTGTTGTTATTATGGTTATGATGATTGTTGTTGAAGTCTTCTATAGAGAAATGATTATTCTTCGAGGCTTCTTGTTAACACGCAAGACGAGACGAAATAAATTCTGGGCGATACACAATGAAACTACACTCAAAAAGTCTATAAAAAATAGTTAATATATATTTCGTGATAAATTCAAGAAATATCAAGAACTAGAATTTTGACCCTCTTTTTTGGAGCTTATTTTTGACATTGTCATCAACAGTTGTCGTTTTAATGACACGTTCAGATAACTTTTTTATGCCATTAATAAAGGCCAAAAAGTGATTGTTTCAAAAGAAAAAGAAAGTTTCGGAGTAAAATCAATGATTGGAGCTTTGTTCTGCTTGTATTGATGTGGTCATCAGAGCATAACCAAGATTGGGTTTAATTTAAATTTAGAACATTCTTGGAGAAGTGTTTAATATAAATATTGAAAAATTTTCTGAACAAATTGATACAAAGTTTTTTTGTTCTTTCTGATTAGTTTTAATAATCGCATGTCTCTGATAATTATCAAACATGTCTAATTGACAGTGATGGTAGCATCTGATAATAAAAATAATTATACTGCTTCTAGATTTATCTGTCGAATATGACATATGATTTTTTGTTAGACATATGTTATAAATGTAAAGTAAATAATTGACTCAAATTCTAAATAGACAACTGCGTTTTATTTTTATTTATTTATAAATAAGAATTAAAACTTTTACAAAAACTAAATTTTTTTAGATTAATAAAATATATTTAAAGTTCATTGAGAATATTTGTGCTTGTTGATATTCATTTTTAATCCTAAATTATATGATGATTATTCTGTTTACTTTTCATTAGTATTTATAAAATGAGTGCTTTATAAAATATAAAATAGAGAAAAGAATAAAAATGTGTCCAATGTAAAAACAGGAAACATTTTTTAACTTCCGGAAACTCATTCATTGACTGTCATGCATTTTACGGGATATCGAATAGAAGACAAAAGAAAAGGTTCAGTAAATGCAAGTAAGTCGATATCAAAAGCATCTGGAAGGCTTATGCATTGTGTATTGTACTAGTTTCCATCAAAGACGTCGTGTATTGTTAGGTTTGGTAGACATCCTAACAAAGTAAATAATGTATGAGAACACTGAGAATAGTGAATAAACTAAAAGTAGACTAAAAACGATCCAAGAATATGTTACACTCACATACAATATACTATGTTAAAAGACAGTATGTATATAATTAGCGGCATTGCCAATTATTGGACTACGCAGTTTTTATCTTATATGAGCATGTATTTATAAATTGTTGCACACTCGTTTTCACTGAATATATCTATTCTTTTGCGCTACGTCAGTCCAAGATTGGATGATGTAATAATTCTAATGGTCTTCGTAATATGATAATATGACAGAATATATTGGAAATATGTCATTTATCAAATTTTTATTTTATTTGATAAAAACCTTCATTTAGGATCAATTTATCAATAAAATAATCGTACAGAATAAATAATAAATTGTAATAAAATAAGATTGAATGATTAATATTATTTTATTATTTATGAAAAGTGAATTATGTTTTAAAGCAGAAGATAAGGAAAGATATTTGAAATTGATTTAAAAATTATCTAATGGTATTTTTAAAAAAAATTATCAACTAGTCATATGGTAATAAATGAAAAAAGAGATTGTGTGACTTATTATTTACAATTATTAGTTGGAAAAATTTTCTCACTCATTATTTATAATGGCATATTGTAAAGATACTTTTCTTATTTATTGTTGTTGATAACAAGCAGCACAAAAACATTTTCAATGCCAAAATCTTTTAACATAAAAGTTCATTCAATGTTTAATCTCCAAGTATAATCTAATTGCAAGTTAAATTTAGCGGCTCAGGGATAATTACGGATATGATAGTGAATGTACATACACAAGAATAAATTACGATAAAATGAGAGAAAGGAGCCTGGATAAAAATGAATGACATGAAACATGATAGTGATTTTATAATAGTTAAATATACATCATATCAATAATATTTTTTCCATTATATTTATTTCTATTAATAATCTTTGCTTTATTAATAACCATTTTTTCATTAATCAAGTTCTACAATTGGTTTTGATTATTGCCTAGAATGATTACTTCCATAATTAACATTGTAAATTGTCTGTTACACTTGATAATAAGTCACTATATTAATTATAATTCCATATTTCATAGTAATTACACACCCATTAGTTTGTTTTTCAACTCTTTATACACTCTTGATGAAATTGTAACGTTATTTTATAACTTTATAAATAATACATGGGAAGGTACATGGTCACAAATCCACCACCCACGTGCATTTATCATCTGATGATGCTTCTTAAATGCAGTCATACAGAGAAGACTGATTACTTGATTGTTCACTCTCGTACAGGAGAATAAATTTCATTGAAATTAATTGCAAAAGTAATTGTCTCTGTTGTATCTTTTCTTTTTCATTTAATTCTTTTTCATGATTACTTGGATACAACATACTGTGCTTGTATTTCTATTTTTGCTCAATGAAGAAGAAACATTGATGTAATATAAATGACCTATTCTGTAGGAATTAATTTAAAATGTTGAATC